TTTCAGCCGGTCATCGGGCCTCCTTTCCCTCAGTCTCTTCTCCATTTTTGTCCCTGTAATTCTTTTAAAGAGGAACAATTCTGGGTCAGAATTTTTGACTGGGGGATGGTAACCCCATCCCTCCACTTGATGCCCTGTCTTTCTACTGGAGGTAGACACTACAAGTTCCCTCTCTGCACTGTTGGGTATTTCATCTAAGGTCCCTCCTACTGGATCCTGAGTGTCTCTTACCTCCCAGGTCTCTGGTACATTCTAGAGGGTCCCCCTACCTCCCACCTCCCGAGGTTGCCTATTTTCATTCTTTCTGCTGGCCCTCAAGACTTCACTCCTGACCCTCTCCTGTACCTGATCCTGTTTCCCTTTTTCATTCCGTTTCCTGTCCCACCCAGTTCCCTCTGTCTTCCCTCCCTCTGCCCTCCATGATTGCTTTCTTCTCTCTTCCAAGTGGGATTGAGGAATCCTTAAAATTCTGTCTCTTAATTGTGAGCACCCATAAAATACTTTCTTACTTCAAGTACATAAAAAACAGGGCATAGTCACAATCAAAACAAAGCAAAACCAAACACCAATTTAATGTCTGGGTTGTACTTACAGTCTTCTGGACTCCTCCAAATGTGCATGGGTCACTTCTTCACTTCCGCCCTCTGTAGCAAAGTGATTGTCTCCTAGACTCCAGTTGGTTCAATTCATGATTGCTTCTGTTTTTTTGGTGAACATCCTATGGTATTGGCATCTCCAAAATACTGGCTTCTTCCACTGAAACTTAATTGCATGTTTTCCAATAACCTCTTATAGGTTGTCTTTATGGTGCCAAAGCTTCGACTGCTTTGCCATGACCCCTTTAATCTTAGGCCTTCAACTGTCATTGAGACTGTCCCTTCATGAATGACCTTTCCTGGCTTTTCACACTGTCAAGCTTCAGCTGTTCTCAATGACACTTTTATACCTTGCAAACCAGTACTTCGTGATTGACTTTTACACATTATCAAATCCAGATGACAGCAAGAGATATAGCTTTGCCTATCTTTGTAACACAATTGCTTTGTGCTCTCAGAAAACAGTTCACAGATTATATGTCAATGGTGCTGGTCTCTTATTAATTATCATTGATTTCTTAGCTTCAGCAAACCAGAATCAATTATTCCAAGAACACAAGGGTTTAGCTTTAGTAGTTCTAGTCTTTTGTTAATAACAGCTGATTCTTCCTACCCCAGGTAACCAAAATTACAGAATCTTAAACCAAATTAGCAAACAGCCTTGAAAGTAGAGTCTTTAATCTTCTCTCTTAAATGTCACAAGCCAGGCCTCCATCATTTTCATTGTTATCAACATTCTTAACTTCCAAGCTCCTATAAAATATTCCACAGAGCTACTAATACTCAATGGCTCTTCTAGTCCAGTGTTCCAAAATCCTTCCACCATCCACACCAATACCTGATCACAGCTGTCACAGAAATATCCCACTTCTGTTACCAATTTCTTAGTTTGGGTTTTATTGCTATGAAGAGACCTTATACTCAAGACAACTCTATAAAGGTAATTGTGGCTTGCTTACAGATTCAGAGATTTAGTCCATTATTGTCATGGTGGGATACATGGCAATGTCAAGGCAGATATGGTGCTGGAGAAGGACCTGAGAGTTCTACATCTTGATATAAAGATGGCAGGAGGAGACTGTATTCCACACTAGGTGGAACTTGAGAATATATGATACACAAAAGCCCCACTTCCACAGCAAGTAATACAGTTCTTCAAACAATGCAAGACCTCCTCCAATAAGGTCTTATATCCTTATAGTACCACTTACTATGGTTAAACATTCAAACACATGAATCTATGGGAGCCACAACTATCCAAATCACTACACTATCTTATAATAGCTGATATGATCTACATATGAATTTTAATACCACAACTGCTAAGTATCTTCTTTTTGCATATTTCAATTTTAAGTGTTCACTGGCCACTTATTCTTATATTTACCTCATTCCTCTACACTTGAACCCATCTTACCCAGGTATTATCCTTCTTTCCTTTCATTTCTTCTATATCCTACTACCCATCCACCCTAAAGTAATCCCCACCCCAAGAGCACATTTTTATCTCTAGTGTTTATATTAAATAAACAAGATGTTTGAAGCCATGCTTTTCAGTCTTTATCTTTTGTGACGTGGCCTAACTTACTCACTTTAACTCATTCAGTTTTATAAATTTAACATAAATTAGAAATAGATCTGCAATATGTATCATTCTTTGGCATATAACTGAAGAGTTTTCTACCTTACTACAGATTCTTGCATGACCATGATTCTACTTACAGTAACTAGGAAATTGAATCCCCTAGATGTCCACCAAGAGACAAGCAGATAATGAACATGTGGAACATATACACAGTGTTATATTACTTAGTTGATAGATAATACATTGTTGTGAAATATAACCACTTCATGATAATATATCAGAACTACCTGTTGCTTTATAGTTGTGTGAATATTGGACAAATGTAATTGATTGTATCATTGAAGTTGTGAAATATTATGTGTCTATTCATAATTATCATTGATGTCAGCATCTTTCTTTAAATATTCGCAAGAAATTTCATGTATATATAAATTCCATTAAAAACTTAGACTAATATATAACTTTCCTTAAGATACAATTATAAAGTTTCAAATATTAAAGAAAAGGACCAGATTTTTTCACTATCCTTCAAACTAATAATCTTTGTTTGCAATATATTTAAATACAACAAACAACTGTGAATATATGCAATATTTTTTCAAACATTTTGAGTTTAAATTTGAGGTTGAAAATTATCGTAGCCCTTTTGTGTATGCAATCAATCTTCTATTTCCATAGCCTCTTTAGAAATATGATGAATTACAATCAGATAAATATAATTTTAACAGTAAAACAATAAAATTCAGTATAAACGTTAATGCATTATAGTAACTTTTTTACAAAACATATAATCATGCAGGGATGATTTAAATTATATAGGCAAATTTTGCATCAGTTCAATATACATACTGTACCATTTCTTCTAAAGGGTTTGAGCAATCCTACATTCAGTAACCCTGTAACACTTTAGTCCTACAGCCTAGCAAAAGACAGCTTTGTTTTCTTATGGACCCTTCTATTTGGCTGTGTTTCATGACAAGCACACAAATCTGCCTTCATTTCTGAAGGCCTACAACTACCAGGGACACAAGATAAACACTTCCCTTCCCAAGAACCTGAACATCTACTCCCCTGAAAGCACCCCAAATAGCCATAAACTGTATCCTAAACCCTGCACAACACTTCCAGCCTCACAACTCTGCCTGCTTTCCCTGAGGTCTGCCAGACCCAGGAGCATCAGGTCAGACCCTCCTCCCAATCCCCTACCCAATGCCCTACCCATCAACTCACCTGAAAGTACACTCAACAGCATCAGCAAACGGTACCCTGTGCTTCATTTACTGACCCAGAAATCTGTCTGCTTTTCCTTCTCTGGACGTTCTGAACCAACAGATACACCAAGGACAATGACTTTTTGGTAACATAGACATCTTGCTTATGAAATAGTTACATTAATTTATTCCATTTTTCTTTAATCAAAAATAGATTTCATGAGCTGGGTGGTGATGGCACATATCTTTAATCCTAGCACTTGTGAGACAGAGATAGTTTGATCTCTGAGTTTCAGGAAAGCCTGGTCTATAGAACAAGGAATACACAGAGAAACTCTGCTTTGAAACAAACAAACAAACAAAAACAAAAAAGAAAACAGAGTAAAAGCAAAAACAATTGAATTATATTGATTTTTATAGTTATTAATATATTATTATTTGAGACAATTTTCATATCATGGATATAGGATTAGTGTATGTATTAAAATGTTAATCTACCCAACCAAAAGTATTGACCTGAATGCTGATTGAGTATATTTCATCACTCCCTCTCTCTCCTAGGAAGTAGTACCAGAGTACTTGCAAGATAAATCATCTGATTGTTACAACAGATTTGTGGAACACATGTAATGGAGGCTTCATGTAGAGACTCCCTTTTTACTGTTCGATAAAGCAAAAATTGTACATATTTAGTAAAACCATATTTTGATTTTTTTCATGTTTTCCATACCTGGGTATATTTGGCAAAATATCATCATGATGTTCAGAAAGAGCAATTAAGTTATACCTGTATCAGTTACATAATCAACACTAGGCAATAATTAGTACTTTAGAGGTAGTCCAAAATTTTGGACTAATGTTATAGTGTTGTTCATTAGTGTCCCGAGTAGAATTATGTAATATAGACATGGTCACAGATTGGACTGCTTCTTGCAAAAGGTAATAGGTTAAGGGTACAAAACATAGAAAAAGGACATAGGTAAGTAGCATGTCTGCAAGAAGATACTGGACTATAATTCCTTCCTAGCTCTTCAAGTCTCCCTGCTACCATGAGATGGGTAGTTTCCTCTGCCGTGCCCCTCCACAATACACTGTCATGATAGGCTTAATGCCCTAGGACCAACTGAAATTTATGAACCTAAATAAACCTCCTCTCCATTTGAATTTGTCTCATGAATTTGTGCTGTTTATAGAAATCTAATAAAATTAATGAACTAAGATAAAAGTATCACCAATATATCTTAAGTTATTTTTTTTTTTGCTAGTTCACGTTAAATTTTAACTTTCTGGAATCTTAAAATATAGATTCAAGTGGATACTACTATTTTAACTTTTTAAAATTTTTTATCTGAGCATCAATTTTTCGCACTTATTTCATGTTCAGCAATGTTTCATGGCTTAGACTATATGGCAGGATTACCATACTCCCTGTGTAATTTGAACAATATGCTATGAGTACTCCTTTTCTAAGTGAGCACAAGTCTCCTCTTCTTGCATATTAGAATCACTGTGTGATTCCTGAGACTCAGTAAGTATACTGATATGGTTTGACACTGTTGCCTTGAGAATTCACTCATGGAAGCCAATCAAGCAATGAGGATGTCACATGCTTTATTTCTTGATTTTGAAGGTTACCCAAACCAAGCTTTCACCAGTCTTTAGAGAGGAGAATGAAGAGTTCTTCTTGAAGGTGTAAAAGTCTCTGCCTGTAAGTGAACATACAATATTGATGAAGGGTCACATACTAAATCAACTTAAGACCTGTGGCAAATGGCAATACATTCATTCTTGTTTAAGACACAACATGTAGAATGGTGTGAAACTACTAGTAATAACCATAAAATATACAGTCTTATTGTTAATTAATTCAGGATAATGTCATCTACATATATGTGTTTAAATTGTTTGGATATTCCATTCCTTTACCATTGATATAATAAAGGTAGATTCAGCCTTGCAAAATTATGAAATGAAATATGTTTCATGAAAAATTTAAAACACTGCATTTTATTAACTAAATGCAAATCACTTTTATTGATAATAATTTCAAATATTTTACCATTTGATATGAGCTGAGTAAAAGGACAAATATCAACTAATTAGAAGTAAAAGCAGACTAAAATAAACTTTTAAAAAACAAGACAAGTTTTTGGGATTCTATGTTATTCTTCTTTGAGATTTCTCCATATTTAGGATTATTAGCTCACATTCAAAGATACCTGATAGTTTAACATGATCAGAATTACTTCTTCGTGATTCACCTATTATTATTAGTACTGTTACTGTTTATTTTTTTCTTGTATATTGTTCCATTATTGTGTGATATTCATTATAAATAAATAATAATTGAAATTATAATATAGTATGAAATTATATTATAAATAATATATTTATTATTATAAATAATTTAAATTATTTTGATGGTGTGGATTTCATTTCCTTTTTTGTATGGTGTGAATCTTTGAGAAAGATACTTTTATCAAATGTTTTAATAGCTTTAAACACACAGTGTTTACTAGTAGGTAGATAACTTTTCCTTCCTTATATGGATAACTTCTTGGAAAATGTGTTAGGGACTCATCCCTGGGAAGAGCTATATCTCTATCTTTCATCAGGTGTCCTTTTCCTGTAACTCTTTAACAAAGGATGACACCCTGTCATATCTGTCCCATCTGCATTAGAATACCAGCTGTTGTGGGAATTTCTTAGATATTGTTTAGGCATCTGTATTGTGGAAATTTTATGGCTATAGCTTCTCTGTCAGAATGAGGAGGCACAATCTCAGAGGAGATATTTTGCTCCTCTGGCTCTTACAAATCTTCCAAGTCCTCTACCACAATGTTCCCTGAGCCTTGTGTACAACAGTTGTATTGTAGCCATATTGTCCGTGTTTAGGCACCATATGGTGAACTTTGCTTTCTTTTACAAAAAGAAAAGAAATAATATTTTTTAACAAGAATGAAAGCTACATGTAGAGAAATGAGAATAATGCATTTAGTGATTGTACAGGATTAGTTTCATAACAGTAGTATACCCTCCTCCAAGATACATGACTTCACTAGCCACACCACATACAGTTGTCTAGATTTTCAGCAGCAGGCCTGACTTTCCTACCATTTGCTCAGGGACAGGGTTAGAGCAAATAACAATAGAATAATGCTCATTCTACAAATGTGAAAGTCATAAAGATTATAAATAGTCACAAAACTGTCAGGGAAAAAGATACTGTCAGCTTAAAAGTCATTTAGATTAACAAGAAAGTAAGGAAGTGCCCTGTAATGTTTGGTAAAGTAACGTGTAGCAGCCTATTTTGGTAAATTCTTTTATGCTACTCCATGCTTCCCTGGAACCTTGAAAATTTTACAGAAAGCATGTTACAAGACAGTCTCTGAGGATCTTAGACTCTACTCCTATTGACATGGCATCAAAAACACATGATCTGCAAAACCACTAAAAAAATCCCACCATATAAACAGGATGAGTTTCTATTCTACCAACATTACATATTCTGACATACATGAGAGTAATGTTGGTTTAAGTTAGTCATTAGTTAGTCAATTAGTCATGCACATCAATTTTTTATAAACAAGAAGGCTTTCTGGGAAATGTACCATTAGCTTATTTTGTCAGTATGTTCTTTTTTTTTCTATCAGCCTAGATATTTCAAAGATCCATCCTTTTAACACAAGCCAGAGATTGAGTGTACGCATGTACACACTAAATTTCTCTTAATTGACCTTTTCCAGTTTAACTATAAAGAGTGGGATCTTACATTCTAATTAAAGAACAAAGGGTGATTTGCATATCAGACTCAGGAATCCATGGTTCTGTATTGGGTCTAACTCAATACTATTTAGAAATATAATATCCAGCTGCATTGGGAATGAGAAGCAGAGAAAGCAGGAGAATTAGGGAAAGAGAGGAAAAAGAAAATGTGGTAGAGATAGAAATGAGGAGACACAAAGAAAGAGATGGAAGTATGGATGTTGGAATGGGTCAAATTACAACACATTAATAATTTGTGCTGTGAACTATGTAGAAAGATTAGCAGATTTTCCTTTAATGTGACACACTAGGAAAGTAATTTGGCTCTGGATGCAATTTTTTACAAATTCTGAATGCACAGTGGAAGGACTAATATAAGAAACCAATGGGGGAACTTAAAGAAAAGGTTAAGAATGAGGCCTGTGTACAACATATGACAAATGCTAACTGGTAATCTGCTTCTAACAGAGCAGTGCTATTGCCTTTTTATTTAATTTCTCCTTAATACTGTTTTGATTATTGGATTTTCTTCTGACAAGGGCTCTATATTAATAAGAAAAGTGAACTTCATGAGCCAAAATGATTTAAACATAGCTTTCAGAGTAACTCTGCCCAAAAATGTGCCCCTTGGATTTCAACTTTTCCTGATTCAAGATATTTCTCTTCAGGGTTTAAAACCACTTTCAAGTGCTATACTAAAGTAAACACTATTATAATTTGTTTGATTGAACTTACATGGATTATTTTTCATTAAATGGCAAAATCTAAGTCTAAGGGAAAAACACTCATTAATTGTGTTCAAAAAGATGTGCCCTAGGGCATCCACATTTAGTTTCAAGTAATGCTAGGTTTCAGAAAGGTTTTCAGTTCTGCCAAATCATTACATGCATATATTACTCATTGAAAACAAAATATATAGAAATGACCCCTAATGGTAAGTATTTATTAAATGTGTTTTACTTCCAGCTAATATCTTCTAAGGTCTTCTGAGTAACTTAAAGGCTTGTTTCTCTAAGAACAGAGAGGCTGAGCAACCAGACTCGCATGAATGTAGTATTTGTTAATTAACAGTTGGCAGTTTAAAGTTATCAGCTCTATCTTAAAGAGTTGATGCTGCTGGACTCTGTTATATCCTAATAGCAGTGAAGAGAAATAAATGGCCTTTCCAGAAAAAAAAAAAAAAACGGACATGGTTGGGGACCAAATACTCTAATCAAAATTCATGTTTCAGACTAAAACAGATTAAACATTATCCATTCAGATTCCAAAAGATTTCCATGATTTAAGCCCCAGAGAAAGAACAGAAAACAAGATGTTCCCTGAATGTCTGCTATGTTAAGGAAATCATTTGTGAATGGGCACATGCATACACATATGTAGCAGATAATGTGGTACAGGTTTTCTAGGTGACCTCCATTTCTACGCTTTCTCTCTTGACTAAAGCATGCATTTTTGTACAGTTGCTTCCTTTCATCAGCTGCTCTTATTTTCCTATGGTCCAGGTGCTTCCAGCTGCACAATGGATCAATCTTTCTCCAACTTACAAAATTACTCGAAATGGACTCGATTCTTTCAACCTTTCTACTTAAAATGTCAGTAAAGCTTGCATGACCAGGGCAGAATGTACTTTTCCTTGAGTACATGTTACTTGCGTACCTTATTTTGTGTTTCTTAATAGAGGAAAATTACCAGTGACTGACCTGAGTGCTTTAGAAATAAAACTCAACTTGGAATTCAAGTGGCTTTACCTCTTTTATTAATGCCCTTCAGAAATTAGAGTAGAAATCTCTTGAAGTTTCAGAAATTGCGCACTCATTGGTTACTTTTTAAGTTTAGAGCCAAAGTAAAAGACATGTAATAATTAAATTAGATTTTACTTCAAATAAGTGGGAAATTGAAATGTCATGTTAGGGATGTTATAAACTTCTGAATATGTTTCATTGGAATAGCATTTTTATTAAATATATTTTTCAAACAAAAATGTCATTAGCTTTTTTTTTATGATATTTTTCCAATGTATTTTCTTTTTTTGTTTCAGTAAGATGAGTTGACATATCCGTACAATTGTCTTATATTTGGGCAGAGGAAGAAAACTAGTCATTTATATACTGTATATTAGAGATGTGAGCACACCCTTTTTAATTCTGATTTTGAGTGCTTTGAAGTTTTGAAGGAATTTTAACATGGTCCCATATGAGACCTTGAATAAAATGACAATTTATTCCATGCTAACACATTAGAAAGTACAATTAAATACCCTACTAGTTTATAATAATTCAATACTCAAGTTTTAACCTTATATTAGCACAGCATTTTGAATCTTCTGAATTTCAAATATGTTTATAGGTAAAATGAAACTTTTAAGTATTCATTAAGAATTAATTAGATGGTTGTATCAGTGTAATTAAGAAAAGCTTGTATTTGTAAGAAGCAGAGCCTGTTGCACTGGTTTATACAAAAGGATCTCAGTAATAATTTTGTGTGTGGCAGTTTTAAGTTATTAGTTTTCAAAATCAGTACTTTTTAATGGAAACAACTTGACCAAAAATCTGTCACAGAATTTTGAGACCCATTAAAACAAGTTTAATGAGAAAAAAAAATAATATTGAAAATAAAATGTCCACCAGTCTCATGTGCTAAGATTCAGCCCTCATCTGGTGGTGGTGTTTTTCAGTTCTTCTGGAAGTTTACAGGATAGGAGCTATTCAGTAAAGGCCAGTCACTTGGTGCAGGTCCTTGAAACTAATGGAACAATTTTTCTCTCTCTGTTTCTAGTCTGCTATGAAATAAGCAGATCTTCCTAGTTTCAACCGTGACTTTCTGGAATTTTCCACAATGCAAGGCAAATAGTGCCATTAGTAATAATAGATATCTTAAACACTTAATGACACAGTTTTGTATTTGGAGAGTTTTATGCTTGAAGCATGGTAAAAGGTGAGCTTCTGAACAATCTCCACAGAGGTTCCTGGTGTGCAGAGCTGTCAGAGGTCAGGCAACTAATTCCTGAGTGAAACGGGCCAACCAAGTACTGTGGTGCACTTAGATATGTGCTACTTTTTCAGAAGGGCCCTGTCTGTTATCTCTACCTGACTGTTGTCAATGGCTGCAGCCTGCCACATCCCCTCAAAAAAGCTAGATATATGTAAATTTTATGCATATTAAATTGCAGGTATTAACTTGATGGCTCATTGTTTTTGAAAAATCCACTAGTGACCTTAGTTTACTAAGTGGGAAAACCCACAGGCTGTAACTGATATATGACAGCAATAATAAGAAGCAAAGACCAAACACCTCACTGCCTATATTCATCTTTGTTCAGCACTGATATCTGCTAGATGCTTAACTTATGATTTTTTAAATGCACTGTGTGATAATGTGACAGGTATGTAATCGAGGCCCCCTGGGACACCACTGGACACTGAGACCCTCTGAAGGTTTGACCCTCTGTCCACTTGCTGAAATGGGTTGAAGATGTTAAACTGCTTCCAAGCTACTGTCCTGAGTGGCCCTTATGTAAGCAAGGAATGAGAACAACTTTGGAATTTCCTTTCCTGAACTTCAGAATACCAGTATTAGGGCTGGAGAGTATGCAGAATGGAGGATTACTACCTACTATGTAATGGGATTCTTTCAGATGCTTGCATTCTAGAATTAGATAGTGGTAAAAACTAGGCACTGACTCTAGTGTCTATCATTGGAATTCAGTGGATTATGTATTTCAAAAAGGTTCAAATAGTGACTTTTATATATATGAATTATAGTTAATTAACCTGAAACAAAAAATTGAATTTTTATGTATGATGCTATTTCCATAATATTACATTAAAATATTTCCATTAAAAAAAAAGAATAGCTATCAACAAAAGGGAATATATTTCCAAATTCTGAATTACAGCTATTAGTTAAATTTCATTAAGTTATTTTTCATATGCATTCAATTTCAAAGATGAATACTGTTCTAATTTTAAATATATGCGGCAAATTCTAAGAATTGTATACAATTAATAAAAGAAAAAAAAGAAAAAATCAGTTCAATCTCAGCTCTGTTCCATCGATTCCATGTATGTATCACTTCTCTCTAGCAAAATAATACAACAAATAATCTTTCAGTTTATTAGAACAATCTGTTTTGTTGAATAAAAGATGCAGCTATCAGAAATCTTATTTAAGCTTTAAACATCAGAAAATAATGAGAACAATTGCAGTAAAAATTATGAAAATACAAAATGTAATTTAAATGGAAAAATATGCTCAAAACTTGACTCTGTATAATATGAACTCATTGAAGTATTTGAAACATGAATAAACTAGCTAAAATTCACACTGTCTTACGTGAAATATATTTTCTTAGATTAAAGCACTCAAATTCAAGTTAGTGATTTTTAAAAAATCAGCCATAGGCCTAAAAACAGCAATAGGCCTGTCATACAAGCATGCTAACACCAAGTCTTGGGTCTCTGTGGAAAAACATTGAAACAGATGGCTATAAGCTATTGTAAATAAGCAGCTTTTGTGGAAATTTACCAGCCTGAGTAGTCATAGACCTTGTAAATAGGTAGCCTTGGCAGATAATACCAACTTAGATAAGGACAAGTGAATCATAGTCAGGGTCATAGTGATCTGTCCCCTGAACTTTCACACAGTCGATACCCTGTTCTGAAAGACATCTGTACTCCCCCTAAACACCCACTCTCTGGTGTCATTCCCTTCCCCACATGCTGCCTTTTTCTTTATAATCCCTGTGTCAATAAGTAAAAATTACGATTTGATTTAAAATAAATAAATAAATAAATAAATTAGAAAATAAATTATCAATTCTTTGTGAGTTCTGTATAATGTGTTAACATCATAATCACCCTCAAATCCTCCTCCTAAATTTCCATCTAGAGGCATTCCCTATCCCACAACCTATTGTCCTATTTTTGTTAATTAATTTAATAACCCATCAACTCCAATTTGTTATGTTCATAAACTCCTCGATCTGAGGTGTATGCTGGCTGGTTTTATGTCAATATTACCTAAGCTAGAGTCACTGGAATAAAGGAATCTTAATTAAGAAAATGCTCCGAAAATGATTGACATGTGGGCATGCCTGAGGTATAATTTGTTAATAAGTAAATGATGTAGGTGTGTGTGCCTACCTACAAGTATTGGTGCTTGGATGAGTGATCTTGGGTGGTACAAGAAGATAGGCTGAGAAAATCATGAGAAGTAAGCCAGTGACCATCATTCTTCTTCAACTTCTGCATGAGTTTCTACCTCTAGTTCCTTACCCTGAAGTACTGGTCTGTTTTCCTTGAAGAAGATGTGGCTGTGGACCTGGACGTGAAGTCAAAGTAGAAGAAGTGGAAGGGAAGCAATCCTTTCCTAGGTCAGTTGATTTTGATCATATCTTATTGCAGCAAAAGGAAGTTAACTAAGATAAGATCCATCTACTGGAACATGTCAACATATCAAGAGCCACACCCTTACGAAAACTGACTTCCTCTTTCCCAGAATCTGTCAACTGTTTAAAACATTTTGGTTAAGGATAAGTTCATAAACCACCCACTGAAACTAAAATTTTGACTGGGATGACCTTATGCAAATCTTCTGCATAAGCCATAACTAAAGCCATAACTGACTGTAGTGGTCCTGTCAAGATCAGAAGATAGGATTTTGCTATAGTCTTTCCTGTCATCTGTCTCTTAGCACCATTTTTATCTCTCTACTACAGTGCTCTCTGAGCCTTAAGCAACTGTGATATGATTCATAAGATTAATTTGTGGCTGGGAAGGTATATTCTCAACTTTCCTCTGCTGTATTTCTACCAGGGTCCACTGCCAGAGGATTTAGATAATTAGAAATTCAATGAGCATAAAAAAAAAATCACCATCGTCCTTACTGACACAAACAAAGAAACATTGATCAACAACATGGAATCAAGTATTCAGACATAAAAGTCTATATACCTATAGGCACCCAAGATTTGACAAAGGTGCCAAAAACACTGGAGAAAAGACACCATCCTTAACAAGTGGATATAAACGTGTAGACAAGGATACTTTCTCCTTCACTGTTATCCCCCACACAAATTAAGTCCAAAGTGATCAAAAATTTTAATGCTACATCTGAAGCTTCTTGTAGAAAAAGCAGAGAATGTATTTTAGAACTTAAGTTCAGATTCAGACATTTTGTAAAGGACTCTAGTGGCCCACCAGAGCAAGTTGAATTCCATGAAGTTAAATAGATTCTGTACTGTGAAAAAAATGTATACTTGCTAAAGAATGGTCTAGAGAATGGAAAAATGTCTTTATCAGGTTATTCATTTGATAGTATAATGATATCTAGGAAATATAAGGAACTCAAAAAAAAAATTAAACACCAAAAAAAATGTGATGGAAAAAATGGAGTGTGAAATAGAGAGTTTGGAGAAGAAATACAAATAGCAAAGAAATATTTTAAGAAGTGATTAAAATCATTAGCTTTCAGGGAAATGCAAATAAAAACTACTTTGCAAATTCACATTATTTCAGTGAGAATGTCATGTTACCCCATTCAGAATGGCTAAGATTAACAAAACAAAGGAAGACAAATGCTGGCAAGCATGTGGGTTATATCGAACTCTCATGCCCATTATGAGAGTGCAAGCTCATAAAGCCGTTACAGAAATAATTTTGGCAATTTCCCAGAGCACTAAATATAGATCTTCTATATGATTCAACCTTTCCGCTCCTGACCATATATCTAGAGGACTCTACTTCCTATTACAGAAATAGACGCTCATTTATCTATGTTTGTGTCTGACATATTTACAATATCTAAGTAATGAAAATAGCTTCACAGTCTCTCTGTTGATAAATGCTTACTGAAAATATGGTTCCTATATACAATAAAATTCTGTATAACTGTAAAAAAAAAGGGAAATTTGCTGATAAGTAGATGGAGCTGGGTGGAAGATACCATACTGAGTAGCATAGATCCAGAAAAACATGTAACGTATGTTTTTATATAGTACTTAAGTATCAGATATACAGATTTGTGTGCTTAATTTGGAGTGTTTGTGGAATAAATTAGGAAACTAAAAGTGGTCCATTTTGGATGAAGAGTTAAAAAGATCTTAATGAAGGAAGATAGAAATCATGGATAGCATATACGGGAATTAGGAGTAATGGTACAGGTAGTTTAAGGTACAGGGAAGAAAGATGGATTATAGGGGTAAGAAGGTGGTTTAGTGATATTTAACTAATGATAGCTATGCTGGGAAATGCCAGATAGAAATCTATTTTATAATCCTTCTAAACACACACACACACACACCAGTTTTACTGAATTTACACTACACTCACAATTTTGCTATTTCCATCCTCCAAGAAACAATAAATTGGAAAAATAATCCCATTGTCAGGCATAGAACTATTTCCTTCAAGACTGTGGTCACAAGTGTCACATAGCCTCCCATGATAATATAGGCTAGTGGAGTTACTCTTGGTCGTGACCCAGAACTTAACAGTAAATATCTAATGCTGAAGACAGTAAAAAACTTTGTCACAAGTCATAGGGAAATCAAATCAGCTCTGACAAGAAAGATCTTTCTTTTCTGAGGAGGAGACATCATTAACTGACTTACCTAACAATGCACCTTGAAACTGCAATGATGATTCTGGTGTTACATTAGATCCACAGGTACAATACGGACAGCATTGTTATCAGGATGATTATTGTTGGATTTGAGGTCTCCTCTTTAAAAGAAAAAACACATACCTATTATTTTGCTATATGACCAACCTTTACATTAGCACATCTGTCAGACTCATCAGTGAAGCTTATTTCGGCAGTATATTTCTTTTTAATAAGAATCAGTGTAGCTCCAACATAAAATATATTTAAAATTAGGGAGGTAAAAAGATCAAATGGACTGTTTTCAGTTAGAATTTGTGTATTATCTGAATTTAGCCATAAATAAATGCTGAAGTAGAATGTGTTTTGTAAAATTAAAGCTTGAGAACCTGGAGTTATGACTTCATAATTACACTTTGTGCCACTCATTATGAATATTTGAGTTAAATCTCCAGTACAGTAGTAATCACACATAAGGGCAAAATCAGATGATTACAGTGCTGACAATACAGAGATACAGGGACCCTTAGAGACAGTCTCACAAAATCAGCGAACTCCAGATTCAGAAATGTACCCTGTCTCATAAAACAAGGAGAGAGAAAAATTAAATGGAGAGAAAGTCACATATTGTGAAGTTCGAGATTTTACATGTGCACACATTCAGGCTTGTAGAGGGAAAAAAAAACCTCACATAAACACACAAACACACACATACACACAATCTTCAAAATATACAGTATACAAATATCAATAAACAGTAAAAACTGATTTATACTAAAGAAAATTAGTTATGAAAAATAAGACAATGCTTGATATTGCATTTAAATTTTCTCCATAGAATATTACTTTGCAACTTTACCAGATCTAATTATACACACAAGCTTAAATAATAATACAATATCAAGTGTAAATATTTTTATTTTAGTAACTGTACTCTGATTTTATAATAAATATTTTTTTATTTTATGAAGCATAAACTAAAGTGAGGAGAGCTATTTGGTATACTGAGACTCAGAAATATAATTGTACATAGAAACACAGTAGTTACACAAAGAGAGTACAAAACACATATCACTCTCTTTAAAACTACATGAAACACATGTAGAATTTTGAATACACTTTTGCAAATTTTCCTTAAGTATGAATTTGTTATACTGACCATTTCAACGTCAATTTGACCAGCATCAGGGATGAAGTTGTAGCTGCTACAACAATAGTAAGACTATTTGGAGAATGTGACACCATTTGAAATCTGTAGATTCTTGAAAACACAAGATTTGTTTGAGTAAATGTAGACAGGTATCATCCAACCTGTTGAAATGCAGAATAGAACAGAAAGGAAGAAGAGATCATGGTCTTTATGGATGTCATTTCAATCTTCTTTGTTCTTATGAATGAGAACTACTCTTTATAAAATTTAAGAGCATGGGAGGAATTTTACTATGAAAATAATATGAACATACATGTGTTAATATGCATATATCATAATAGTGTGCTTATGATTGTATAGGTATATATTCTACTCTCCAGCTTCTCTGGAAACCTCGTATATATCTAACAGATTCATTCCTTATACATGTTTTTAAATTATTAACCACATGTTTCAGATTTCTCCTCCTGAAAGACCTGACTATCTCAAACAATCTTTGTAGATGTAATGTTTTCTAATTCAATAAAACTTTCCATAAGAGAAAATTTGGTAGAGAATCTGAAGTTGATCCTGACAGTAAAAACTTTATTCCAAAATTATATTTAAGTTAAATGGAATTTAATATAACAATCTCCCTGAGACTATAAACTGATTTTCATAATTATAATATACATGTTTTTCTTAATTACTCATGTAAAGTATGTTTTTCTACTATTTTGTTAAGTGTGTGACATTGTCCTGAAATGAATGGCTTGTGTTGTTTTAATTTATTCAAATTCTCATTATATTAAAGTGGCTCATATAAGGATTATCACTCTGAAAATAAATAAATGGTACAGAACATATTATGAATACTTTTTGGGAAATCAACTTACTTATTGTGTATCTGTGTTTCCAGCTACCTTGTTTTCAGGGTCGTTGAGTGTGTTTCTTCTGTGCACGTGCATGTTTTCTTACATTCTGTTTTGGTGTTTGGAGACTTACCTTATGGATTACGGTTTTAGGAATGCTTAGAAGACAGACACATTTTTTTTCTCAATATTTCTCCTCAAGCTGGGTTGAGTTTATGTGAAATTACAATTGTTGACATTAATTAGTAATTTTAAAAGAAAAAAAAGTATCTAGACAGCTTTTACCCCTTGAGGGGGAAATTAGATAAATGAATACATCAACCATGAAATAATTGATATACTTGTTGTATAGTCTTGAATTTGCTGGTATAGAATTAATTAAAATAATAGACAGCAAATGAATACATGCCATTGCCTAATGCTTGCTTGTTACCATATGCCTTTCTGTTTATGTTTGCCTTAAATTACAGACATTTGGATCTTCAAATTGGCTCTTTTTGGACGAACAATAAAATTCTTCTTTGTGAGACTTTAGGAAATAAAACATATTTTAAGTGCTCTAATGCCACTAGAACTTAGCATTTTAATTTAACATTTATTTGTTGTTTTAAAGTGGTTATTTTCTTGTAATATGAGAATGACTAAATACAGGGTTCATGGGAATAAACAAAATCCAAGATAGTGATTCCTACATTAATTTAAATTATTAATTTTTGAAAAGTTAAAACATTATATTTTGATTATATGCACCACCTTTTATAACTTTTCCCAGATGCTCACCTCCATTTCATTCCCACCCAACCCTGTCCCTACATTTCTTTTCAAGCTCATAGGTACAATACAATTTTTGCAGTCTGTATACTCTCAGTGTGTGTTGGTATCCACTGGAGTGTGGATCGTAGCTTTAAAGAAAACTAATTTTTCTTCTCATAGACACTATCAATTGTTAGAATCTCTTCAATTAGTAGTAGAACTCTCTGCCTATATTTGCCCACATGCTGAGCTTTTGTCTAGATTGATCTTATACTAGTCTTGTGTATGTTGTCATAAGAACTATGTCGTCATATATGCCACTTTCTGATAGTGTTCTGAAAAAACAGTTCCAGCTGTAGCGTTGTTGATATTGTTGAGCCTAACTACCTTCTATTACACTCACCCACATTCTCTCACCCTTATAATCCTTGCACACACACACGTATACACAGCCATATACATACTTCCATGCAAACTAAGCTTTGGGGAGTGTGGGTATGATATAGATGTTCTTTTTTAGCATGGATTATTCTTATTGTTTGCACATTAAGCAGTTATGGGTCTCTGTGTTAATCATCATGAATGGCAAAAAGTAGCTTCTCATGTGGTTTGAAAGATGCTCTATAAACCTAATGATAAGTCATTACTTAATGTTCTATTTATCTAAATATATAGGAATATTTTACTTCTAGTATAGTCACCAAATCTTGAACTCAGTAATGGTGTCATCTTATGAAATAGAACTTAAATTCTATCATAAAATAGTTGATTTCTGCCATTATATTTGTGCTTCTATTGATCCACTGGAGAGAATCTTTTTCAGTGGGTTTGTCATTGTAGCTCACAAGGATACTAACTGGGTAAATTAATGACTATGATACTTCTCTAGTAACAAACTTAGCACCTTCTAGAGTAAGCAGTGAGGATAAAGATTCTAGGTGAGTAGCAGCATTACTTTTCATAGTCTATGATTCATATATATTGTGTCTTGAGCATTAGGGTCTTGTTGTCATGTTCTGTATAGTAACAAAGGCAACAAATTGTCACATTTGAAGAGGGTTTCTGTGAGAACATATTAGCTAATAAATCCAACAATAGTACTAACACGTTTATGGTAATGGTTTTGTTAGCATGTGTTGTCAAGTAGGGGTATGGCTGCTTCATTATAATTTCAATGCTTTTTATGCCAGTTTAAATACTGTTTATAGAACTTTCCTTTAGTGGTGTGTTTTTATATGTGTGTTTTAGGTCTTTAGGATTAGTTTTACCTACTTTATTTCCTCCTTTTCCTTCTCCTTTTATTCCTGCCTCACTACATCTATCTGTTCCTGTTCTATCATTCTACTCTTTCTTTATATTACTATGTTCTCTCCCCTCTCCCTTGACTCTCCATCAAACAACCCCATATTAATTTACTTACCACTTTGCGGGTCAAGTTGAATAAATGTAAATCAGTATACATTAAATATCTCTCCTCACCTACTCTGTTGTGGATGGTGTCAAACCTTAAAATTACTTTTCATAGTATTTTCCTTCAAGCTCAACATTTTGTAAACTTCATCAGAAGCAAGGGCTGACATCCAGTGAATTGAAAAACAAAGCAGAACTTCCTTGAAGTACTAGTTTAACTAATGAAGGGAAATGGGATGTAGAGCATGATAGAATACCAGTGAGAGTAACGTGGCAGAATTGAAGGGGCTACATATGACCAGTTTCCTAATGCCAATTTTATTTACTTCCCTTTGTATTCTTCCTGTACTAGGTTCATTATTCTCAAGACAAATAGTTTTTCTAACATTAAACAGTTTTCTCTACTTAAAGACTTTTATCATGAACAACAACAGAAAGGTAAATAGAGATCTTTTAGAGAGCATGCCCATTAACCTCATTATTCTAGAAGTTAGGAGGATAATGAAAAATAATCGCTTATTAGGATCTCATTATTTAAATCAACTTATTTTGTTTCAAAATCTGACAACTGGCTGTCATCCTAGCTTTGCTCAATATCCAGCATTTACGTAGGATTGAGGGTCCGAGGATTGAAAGAGGAATTCCTACCCACATTCCTTACCCAGAAGCCATCTCCAGTTGATGACTACTTGTGAAATAAATAAATAAAAAACAGCTAACAACGAAAATTCTTTATTTAAATATACTTAAATATATTTGATCCAAGTCTTCCTTGACCTTTTCTCAGCATTTACCAAGAAAAATATGAACAGATAGTAAAATCATTTCTGGATGCTCAAGATCAGGTCTTTGATAAATACAATCCACATTACAACACCTGCCCATGAAAATTAAAGGCAGGCAAAATTGCTTATGTCTTTTTGAAAAAAACAATAGCAATATAGCAATCCACTATTTTATCACTTTTGTGGGAAGGCAACCACCCAAGTAATGTAAGGTGCCAGGTATAAATTCCTTTAAAGTACCAGGTATAAATTCCTTTCTACTGTGTTGGCTTATGGTCCAATTAGACAGCTGTCAGATACTGTCAAGATAATAATGGCATTATTACACCTTTGGGAATATGCACCATGTTGATCATTATTGTAGATTGTCGGCTTTACAGCTAGATAGGGTTATTATTGCTTTTCTTCCTTGGTGCTTACATATCATTTTTTTTTAAACCTGTGATAGCTAGTCCTCAGGGAAGAGGCTTCCAGGTCAGTTCCAGTTGAATTCTCCTAACTACTGTGTTTGAAATATAAGTAATAGAGACTTACCTTCAAGTTTTTGGGGGAAGACAAGGGCAGTAGCAGGTAAGGTAGAGGAGAACTTATTAGTTCTACTTTTCTAAACCATTATAATTTCTTTTTTCCCACATATTGAATGTTTTATTTCAACTGCCAACTGGCACATTTCTTGTTGACTGTTGATGTGATCTCAAGTGTCTTTTCTTTCCTCTACTCTACATTTACTTCTGAAACTGCTGTAGCTCGTTTTAAGTTTCTAACCCAGGCTTTACATTTTCTAGATCCACAGGAGGTCACATGGAATGATGTTATATTCCAGTGTTTTTTGTTTTGGCTATGGTGGGTTTTATTCTTTGCATTACTTGTCTTGTGAGAACATAAAAATATTGTTGGTCTTATTGTTCTTTTATAGTTTCTTGGGCAGGTAGGAGGCAATTGAAAGGTTTTTCTTCCTGGTTTCTTCCTAAGCATTTTTTCATCTTTCACTAGTTTATCTTTGTTATTCTTCCTGATCTTTAGGTGACTGGAGAACTTTATTTCTCTTTTCTTGTTGGTATCTGGGCCTGGCTGTTCAGGTGTTTCAACTGGCGGTTGATTGTTGGCATTCTCTGGTATGCAGGCTTCTTTCTTCAGGTTTAACTCTTCTAGAGGTCTGCTCCAATCACTTGTCCTCTGTAAACTGCCCCCCATGATTAGTGTAGGTCACCACCATTCAATTTGTTGTGGCTGACAAGTGCACCCACCACCACCAGCAGCAGCCAGTAACAGCAATAGAATGGCTTATACATCATAATGCTCCTCTACTTCTGACACCTCTGTAGAGGTTGAGGGGGGAGTTCTGGAGAGGCAAGGAATAAAGTTGTTGGATAAAGATTGTGTTTCTTCAATGCTAGCTGTACATCCATTCCAAAATGATTTGTTTCTCTTTCAGTTCTCTATGGTTAAATATTTGTAGTCAAATGGCAGCAAGAAAGGGATTTTTAAAGTCACTACAGTAGGTGCTTCCCCCCCAACACTCCCTTTATTGGTTCAGTCTCCACCATTGTTTTTTTTCCCTCTTCCTGGGAAAGGAGACTTATTCTTCCCTTTTCTTTAAAGTAGGTTACTTTCTCATGCAACACCCTGATTATAGTCTCCCCTCCTGCTTCTCTCTGTTCCTCCCTGCATCTCTTCTGAATCCATTTCCTTTCTGTCTCTCATTAGAAAAAGATAGCAACAAAACATGACAAAATTAAATATAAGATTAAGCAAAACTACAAATCAACCGTTGGCAAGGCAACCCATCTGGAGGAAAGAGTTCCAAAACCAGGCACAACATCACAGACCAACTCATTGTCACAGTCAGAAGGTCTATAAAAACACTAAAATATTAGCTATAATATGTACACTCCGCCTGGTGCAGACCTATGTAGAACCTGTGACTGCTGCTTCCATTTCTGTGAGCTCATGTATGCCTTGCTTAGTTGACTCAGATGGCCTTGTTCTCTTGGTGCCCTCCATCCCCTCTGGATCTTACAGTTTTTGGCCTCCTCTTTCACAAGGTTTCCTGAGCTCTGAGGGAAAGAATTTGATGGAACATGCCATTTGCACTCTCTATATAATATCTGACTGTGGATCTCTGTATTTATTCCTATTTATTGCCAGATAAAGCTTCTCTAATGATGGCTGAACAAGTCACTGTGCTATGAGTACAGCAGAATATCATTAGGAGTTTTATATTTATTAATAACTATTTCTAGACATATAGTGTGTGGTTCAGTCTTTACCATCTTTTACCATGATCTGCTCCTTTTGGGTGTACCAGAAATTCTTGTAAAATAATATGACATTAAATCTTTCACTCCTAATCACGAATAATTCTAATAGAAAATGTGAATGCACCATTTCTCTGAAAATCAATTCTTATTTTTTGTTTGTTTAAGTATGGCTCTTAAACAGAATGCTTAATTTCTTGATGTTTTTTGCATTTTTACATGATTAAAAAAATCCCTGGGACAATACTTAATAAGGTAAAATTACATGAAATTTTAATGTCAATAAATACAATTACATTAGAGACTAGATTTTATGTTTTTGAAGATTTATTTTTAATTATGAAAGAGAGTTGGGGAGTATATGCACAGGAGTGCAGATACCAAAAAGTTCCAGAGGTATTGGATCCCTCTAAAGCTAGAGTTAAATAAACATAGTTATAAGCTATCTGGCCAATGTGCTCTGGACACTGAAATCAAGACCTTTTCAGGAGCAGTATGTGCTCTTAATCATTAAATCATTTCAATAGCTCTGTTTTTTTGTGGTAGTTTGTTTGTTTATGATTTGTTTGTTTTATTCACTTTATGTCCGAATATCACCTCCCCACTACTCCCAGTGCCTCCCTCGTTCCTCACTCCTCTTTTCTGGAGAGATTCATTCCCACTAGGAAACACTTCCCCAGTACCTCCTCACAAGCCCCACCCCTCCAGACACCTCAAGACAATACAGGACTAGGCACATCTTTTCCCACTGAGGCCAGACAAGGCAGTCCATATAGGGGAACAGGACCCACTGGTAGGCAGACAATAGAGTCAGGGACAGCCCTTGCTTGTGTTATTGGGGACCAAACTGCTCATCTGCTACATTTATGCAAGGGGACCTACGTCCAGACATGCTTGCTCTTTCCTTGATGTTTCAGTCTCTGGGAGCCCCCAAGGGTCTAAGTTAGTTAACTCATTTGGTCTTCCTCTGGAGTCCCTGTCATTTTTGGGTCGCTCCACCCTTCTTCAATATCTTCCATAAGATTCCTCAAGCTGAAACCAATGTTTGGTTGTGAGTCTCTGCGTCTCTTTCCATTGATTCAGTGGAGCCTCTCAGTGGACAGTTATACTAGGTTCCTGACTACAAGCATGACAGTATCATTAATAGTGTCAAAGATTGGTTCCTGTCCATGGGATGGGACTCAATTTGGGACATTCATTGATTGGCCATTCTGTGCTCTATCTCTGTCCCTGAACTTCTTTTAGGCAGGACACATTTTGGGCAGAGGATTTTGTGTGCAGGTTGCTGTTCTTATACTTCCACTGAGAATCTTGCCTAGCTACAAGAAGTGGCCACTTCAGGATCCATATCCCCCCATTGTTAGGAGACTCAGCTAGAGTCTCCTTCATAGAAACCCTGTGGCCTTGCCCCATCCCATTTCTCTGGTAAGTCCTAAAGATTTTCCTACCCACCAACTTCAAATTTCCCTTCTCTCTCCCCTCCCTCATACCCCTTGCTTTGACCTCTCCTTCCTTCTCTTCTTCAGTTTGATCCTTCCATAAACCCCAAATATTTATATTTTTCCCCATCTGACATCTGAGAATGATTCAGCCATCCTCCCGTGGACCTTCCTTGTTATTTAGCTTCTTTGAGTCTGTTAATTGTAGTGTGGCTATCCTTTACGTTATGGCTAATATCCATTTATAAGTGAGTACATAACATGCACGTCCTTTAGAGTCTAGGTTACCTCACTCAAGATATTTCTAGTTCCACCACTTGCCTGAGAAATACATTTTGTCCTTGTTTCTAATGGATGAGTAGTACTCTATTGTGGACATGAACCACATTTTCTGTATCCATTTGTCAGTTAAGGGACATCTAGATTGTTTCCAGTTTCTGGCTATTATGAATAAAACTACTATGAACATAGATGAGCTACTTTCCTTGTGGGATGATAGAGCATATTTTGTGTATATGCCCAGGAATATTATAGCTAGTTCTAGAGGTAGAACTACTCCCATTTTTTTTTTTTTGAGGAACCACCAAATTGATTTCTAAAGTGGTTGTATAAGTTCGCACTCCCACCATCAGTGGAGGAGTGTTCCTCTTGTTCCACAGCCATGTCAGCATATATGGATGTATGGTGGAATCTCAGAGTTGTTTTGATTTGCATTTCCCAGATAAGTAAGAACATTGTACATCTACTTAGATGCTTCTTGGCCATTCAAGATTCTCCTGCTGTGAGTTTTCTGTCTACCTTTGTATCACATTTTTAGTTGGGTTATTTTCTTAATTGGGTTCTTAATTCTAACTGCATTCTAAGTGTTTATTCTTAATAAAAATATGAAAGACTCATTCTCAATTCTCAGTTAAGAAGACTTATTTTTTTTTCCAGCAGATAGAGACTACTCAATAGATCCACCACTTCTCAAAATGTAGAGAACTAGTCATTGTTAATTGTGCATTCCACTCCTAAAATTTACAATGAGGAAAAGAAACTTGGTAACAAAATGGTTTATTTTATCTTGAAGCTTGTCTATCACCCAGTAAAGTCTAGGCAAGAGCTCTAACCTAGCAGAGATATGGAGGAAGGAATCTTCTTCCTGATTGCTCCCATGGCTTTCTCAGCCTGCTTCTTATCTATCAAAAATCATCTTGCTAATCAGTGCACCAACCCCAATGATCTGGGCCCATCCACATCAGTCAGTAGTCAATAAAATTCAATATATTCAGAAAAATTTTATGAAGCCCTCAATGTAGAGCCATTTTTTCCAAATAATTTTAGCCTATGTCAAGTTAAAATTAAAAAAACAAATCCATGACCAACTGAAGCCTCCAAAATGTCCAACTTATACCTAAGTTTCAGGGAACATCACATAACATGGGACAGAAAGATAGTAAGGGACAGAAGACCAGGACACCTGCTGTGAAGTAATGCTTTCTATATATGACAGTAGAGGCTACAGCCATGAACAATGCTTGCACAGTGTCAACACCAGCAGATACTTCATTATGGACGGGAAAAATCACACAGGACCCTACACCAATATCAAGAGCTGCCTGGTAATGATGCATAGTTCGCTTCTACAGTTATACATTGTACATTACCGGCACTAAACACTAAACACTAAGTGGGCTGGTGGAAGTGAGAGTCAAAATGATAAAAAAGAAAAAGTATCTTTATATGAAGGTTTTAAAAAATGAAATAAAGTTAAGAATTGCACATTAGGAAACCAGCATTGTTTGATTAGACTAATCATGATATCCTTCTCCCACAGGCCACTGATCTGCCTTAGTCCCTTCATAGTCCCCATCCTCCCATATGTGCTTTAAAATATTTTTAGTATGCATTTGTTCAGTTCACACTGTTTTATAACTCCTCCTACAATAGATTAATACCTGCCTTTCCACTTTAACCTAGGCTTTTATCATCGTGAAAGCATTCTGCTGTTCCAAAACTAACATAGAGAAAATAAGAATGACTTAAAAATTAATAAGGCAGCATATTAGTCTGATACTATAGTAAAACCAAAGAAAATTTAATGTTAGAAAACAAAAAACTAAAAATGAAGGTGTTACTAAATTACTAGTGAAGAGAAAGAAATACAGGACAAAAAGAATATATACATATGTATATATTCATACATGTACATGTACATATATACATATATATGTAACACACATATATATGTATACATATTAATAGACTTCTCCAATAAGCCTTCCTTTGTCACCCCAATTACACAGTAAAAGAATATATGTTCATCTCACTGAAGGCTGAGTTCTTGCCACTTACTTCAAGACTGTCTCACTTTGCCCAAGATTTTCCCTCTCCACAATGATATCTGCACTTTTGATAATGATGCCCTGTCACATCCCAGTGTCTTCTTGTCTGCCCTCTGTTGTGTGAAATCTGGAGTGGACTGAAGCATATTTTTTCCTACACAAAATTCTGTTTGATTGCTTGTTTGTTTGGTTTTAATCATGGGAATCACTCTTCCATCTGATTCAA